TTCCGTTCGGCGTTCGTTTTCGAATTCTTCTTTCGAGTTTTCTTTTTTCCCATCCATCGATTTAATTACTTTCCTTAATTACTAATTAACTAATTAATTAATTAAATAATTATCCAGAAATAACGGACATCGAGAGTAATAATAATAATAATAATAATAATAATAATAATAATAATAATAATAATAATAATAATAATAATAATAATAATAATAATAATAAGCCAACGGCCATAGCGTGCTGGTCACACCGGTTCCCGTACGATCACCGAAGTTAAGCAGCATCGGGCGTGGTACAAACTTGGATGGGTGACCGTCTGAGAACGCCACGTGCTGTTGGCTTAAAAGAGCAAAAAAAAAAAAAAATGAGAACAAGACAAAGTAAGAACCAAAAAAACAAATCTTGTTCTACTGTCGACCTGAGGCAGCTCGACGAGAACGTGAATTTCACTGCTTCTGACCTGGCCACTCCAAAGATGTTAGTCACCGGAGCCCAGTTCAGGAGACAAATCGTTCCCATCGAAAAAGACGGACTCAGGAAGACCTTCAAGAATTGATGTGGTGCTATCTTATAATAAGTGGCACCACCGAAATTCGAGTATTTGTCCCTAAGGAATCGGGTAGAAACCTCGGATAAATACTTAAAAACTCCGACAAGTAGCCTTGTCGTGTTTAATGGTGGATAATAATAATAAAAACCATTTTCAAGCGTTTGTTTGACGCTCAAACGTTCGCGTGTTAAAAACAGGTGAGATAAACGGACTCGTAAGTCAAACATCTTTTCACCCACATATTTCTCCCTCTCTTTCCCTCTCCTTCCCCTCCCCTCCCCTCCACCTCACTTATATTGATACACCATCATCATCATAGAAATCGCTGATGGACAATCGTGTGGAAAAAGGAAAAACAAAAAAAAAATAAAAGCAAACGACGACGACGTAATAATAAAGGGAAAAAAAAAATGGCGACGTAAAATAAGAACAAAAATTCGTTCAAATACGAAACAACCGACACGAAACAAACGAAAAACAAACAAACAAACAAACAAACGATTATAATTAATTACAACAAGAATATTTACTTAAAATAATTCGAATTTAAAAAAAAAAAAAAAAAGAAAAAAAGAAAAAAAAAATCAAAAGAGTGAAAGTCTAAATACCTGATTTAAAATTAATAATAATAATGATAATAATAATAATAATGAAAAATAGAAAGAGAGAGAGAGAGAGAAACCACTTCTCTCGACTACTTCGACTACTACCACCACTACACGTTTACAAGGTCTGCGCGTATACTGATTGTAGACAACGTCTGGAACTGGAGCCAGTATGACTACAACCTCTACCTGGATAACCCCGCGAAGTTAAATTTTTTAAAAAAATACAAATCGTTATTAGTATTATTATTATTATTTATCGGTTTGTGCGTTTGTTTTTTTTTTTTTTTGTTTTTTTCGTCTTATCAGTTTATCACAATTATTATTATTATTATTATTACAATTTTAAAGTAGTAGGAGTGAATTTATAGTTTAATAGTAATAATAATAATAATTAAAAAAAAAGACCGGGAATTTTTTTTTCTTTTTTTTTTCAAAATTAATTTGAGTGGATTTAACAATAACAAACACAACAAACACAACAACCAATTAAAAAAAAAAAAAAAGATGGTAAGATATTGTAAACAAACAAAAAAATTGTGAATTTTTCTTTTCCTTCTTTTTCTTTTACCCCAATATTATTATTATTATTATTATTATAAATTAAATTTTCCGATCCCAACAATCCGATGGTTGTTGCCGTTGCAGTGATAAGAGATAAGAAATAAAAACAAAACAAAACGAAAACGTTTTTCTACGCATAATAAAAAAAAAAAAATTTCTTTCTTTCTTATCTTCCATTTCTCGAATTTAAATATAAACGAATTCTATTGGCCAACAACCTTGATTGACCAATTTTGTAAATTATATAAATGTTTAGGTTTATATATATATATATAAGATATTTTTAAAAAAGTTTTTTTTTTCTTTTTCTTAATTTTTCAAATTTTTGACGGATGAAAATTATTATTATTACTTTTAAACAACAACAACAACAACAACCACAACCACAACAAGAAAATTAATTACAACTCATACTGTCAATACTACTACAACAAATCATTATAATTATTATTATTCATAATAATTTTTACAATTTTGAATATAATCAAGCTATTATTATTATTATTATTTCTTCTTCAAAATTTAAAAAATTTTCGCAATTAATAATAATGATGATGATGATGATGATGATGATGATGATGATGATATTAATAAAAGTTTTACGAACCCGATCGACAAATGAAAATTTTTTTTTATGAATTTTCTCGCGTGAATTACCCCATAATATTATTATTATTATTGTTACTATTTATTATTATTATTATTATTATTATTATTATTATTATGTATTATTATTATTATTATGTATTATTATGTATTATTATTATTATTATTATTATTATTACTCTTTTAATTTTTTTTTTTCGATTTACAATAAAAACGAAATTTTTTTATTAAAAAAAAAAAAAATATAAAAGATACGCATTCGGGGGTGGGGGGGCGTGTGAAGGGATATAAGAAAGAGAAAGAGAGGGAAATAGAGAGGGGGACAGAGAGGGGGAAAAGCAGGGATTCATAAAAGAAAAGGAAAAAAAAGGAAAAGAAAAAAAAGAAGAAAAACGTTAATAATTAAATTTAGATTACCGTTTCGACGATGACATAAAAAATTATGCGATGATGATTGCAAGATAACCAGTCAAAAAAAAAAAAAAAAAAACATTGCTAAACTTTCTCTTTATCCAAATAATAATAATAATGATAATAATAATACTACTACTAATGAAGTTAAACGTGATAAAAATCAATAGTGAAAATAAGGACGCGGCGTAAAAAAAAAAAAAAAAAAAAACGCCGGATGAAAAAAAGAGAGAAGCTACATGTAATTCCTTCGATCAAATACTTATTTTTCACAAAATTTCACATTTCAATTTTTTTTTTTTTTAATATAAAAACTCGTAAACAAACAAACAAACAACCGACCGACGCCAAAAAATCATTTAAGGCCAGTTAAACAACTATTAATGGAAATAAAAAAAAAAAAAAAAAAAAAAAAAAAAAAAAAAAAACGAGACCAACCGCAAAAAAAAAAAAAAAATAGCGATCAAATGCAAATTTAAAATTTCTAAAAAAAAAAGCAAACAAACAAACAAACAAACGGGTAATTAATTAGAAGGTTGTTTCAAACAAGGGTCGGTCGGCCGCAAAAAAAACAATTTTTTTTTTCCTACCTATAAATAAAACGCGCCATAATTTTTATTTAAAAATAATAATAATAATAATGATAATAAAAATAATTGAAACTTCACGTCTCGCACGTTTAATTTATGTGAAAAAAAAGTGAAAATTTTTTAACTTTCGATTTTTTGTTGTACATAAAATAATAATAATAATAATAATAATAATAATTATCGATTAACGTATAATTTTTTTTTAATAACTATAATTGCTATAAAAAAAAAAAAAAACAAAAACAAAATATATAGTCTATAGAACGTGGTGAAATCAACCATTATTTTTTTTTTTTAATTACTTTTACGCTCGTAATTATTTCATTGTAAAGAAATATTATTATTAATAATAATAATAATAATAATAATAATAATAATAATAATAATAATAATAAAACGAAAACAAAGAGTCACGCAATACGTCACCGTTCGTTTTTTTTTTTTTTTTTTTTTTTTTTTACGTTGGCAATCATTGAAAAAACGCGTGACGTCAAAAAATTCGAATCTTTCATACATTTAAATCTCATTCGAGATGAACGTTTGTTTGTTTGTTTGTTTGTACTTTATGATTACTACCGACACAGCAACAGCCAACCGACAATAACAATTCACACGAAAACAAACAAACAAACAAACGACGACGACGCACGTTGTTTTTTCAACGAAATTTTTCACAGCGTGCGAAAAAACCAAAAAGAAAAAAAAATTATAGAAAAAGAATGAATAACAACCACGCCGACGTAACCGATTGCATATTATTTGAATATTATTTCGTTAGGAAACAAACACACAAACAAACAAACAAACAACTAAAACTACAACAATAATAATAATTAAAGAAACAACGGTTAACGGTTAACTTACGACACAGACACAAACACACGCACGCTCATCTACATCATCATCATCATCGCTAGAAAAATAGTATTAATAATAATAATAATAAGAAAAAATTCGCAGGTCAAGACGTCGAATAATAATAATAATGATAATAATAACGGCGGGGGGGAACAAACATTAACGCCACTACAAACGCAACACAATAATAATAATAATAATAATAATAATAAACGTTTTGTAATTATTAAGTAATTAATAGCAAAATTTACATTTTCGAATTTGAATATAATGAATAATAATAATAATAATAATAATGATAATAATGAAAAGGTGACGAGATGATAAAAGAAAGAAAGAAAAAAAAAACTGAAATTAACTGGAATTTTTCTCCAGCCTCACGCGATAGAAGATTACGTTTTATTATACGAATAAATTAAATTGTTCTAGAAATGTTTAAAGATGGCTGCTTTTTAATTGTTTGTTTGTTTGTTCGTTCGAATCGTTTGTTTATAAAGTTGTCAATCCTTCCTCACCACCACTACCACCCCCGCCACAACCCATCGGGCCCTTAATTTTTTTTCTTTTGTTGGGACGGAAAACAAAAGTGAAAAATTCACAATTTTTTTTCTAACGTTTTTTTTTTCTTTTTTTTTCTTCTCCATTTTTCGTGACGTGTCATGATAATGATGATGATGAAATAGTTAAAACCAAAATTTGAAAAAATCTGACGAATAATTTTAAAAAAAATATATATATATATATTTTCATTTTTAATCGAATCCGATCGAAACCCAGTGGAAAAAAAAACATAATAATAATAATATATATACGACAATATGTTGTGGCGAAGTGTTTTCGCATGTTTGGTGTTATGCGCGGTCGCGGAAAGTCAAAATCGTGGTTCGACTAAAGCCACGATACAACCGTCTACGAGAAACACGGCAAGAACTCCGACTCCCGTGATAAGAGTCAATTATAAAAGCGTTAAAAGAAGTTCCATCGTCGGTGCTACGTCACAAAATGAAACCGCAAATACCGTCACGACGGAATCCGGTACGACAACCGGAAGAGGATCTTCCTCATCGAGAAACAGGTGAGTCTTTTTATCATCATTATTATTTTTCAAATTTTTTTTCTCGTTTGTGAGAGATTGCGCGGCCACGCGTCACGTTTGAAACTAAGAAAAAAAAAATGGCGCGAACAATCAACAAATAACGTTTGCAATCGTCATCAAATTACAAAAGTTCCCCCCAAACAAAAGTTTTTTTTTTTTTTTTTTTTCAAGGATGCGAAATGAAAAACTATGACGTCACGCGTTAATTTCCGTCGCGAAATTTTCATTTATTTTTTTTACGAAATTATCGATTTATTATCGATTACAAAACCATACGAGAGAATCGATAAATGAAAAAAACAAATGTTTAACTTAAACAAACAAACAAAATTTTCTCCTCGTTATAATTATTATTATTATTATTATTTACACCGATTACGACGTCACTTTACGTCATAGAAAAAGAAAAAAAACTTACAATAACGTTTCGTGACATGAACGTCACGAAATTTTCATCTTTTTTTTTTAATATTGATGACGTCATTTATTTAAAACCATTCGCAAGTAATCGATCCGCGATGTTCAATTCGTTTATTGAACTTCGAATTTATCATTTAAGGTAAATAAAGTTGTTGTTGTTGTCGTTGTTGTTGTTTTTAAAAGAAAATTTTTCCAATCTTTTGACACGACAAAAACAAATAAAAAAAAAAAGAAGAGGTAGTAACGACCGAATAATGAAACCAGCGGAAAAAGAAGGAAAAGACTAATTCAAGCGGAAGAAAGAGAGAGAGAGAGAGAGAGGATAGAGTTAAGTGGGAGGAGTAGGAAGAAGAAAACAAATAATGTTTGTCGTGACCACGTCGTTTGATTGTTTAGACCGTGACGCGCGACAACAAACTTTAAAAATTGTTTCATGCCAATTTTCTTTCTTTCATTCATTCAATCAATCCAATTAATCTCGTGACCTTAAAATCAATTGCGCGATTAATTTTAAAAAGAGAAAAACATGAGTTAGTAGTACTAATCGTAGTAGTAGTATTAGTATTAAAAGTAGTACCGATAGTAGTGGTAGTAGTACTAAAAACGACGACGATGATGATGATGATGATAATAGTTTTAACAAAATACAAAGTTTTACTCCGTAATTATTATTACCAAACATCATTACCGCAAAATTTAAAATAACGTTTTCCCTTTTTTCTTTTTTTTTTTTATTATCGCCACTTGACCTTTGACCTTCTTCTTTTTTTTGTCTGAATTACAGTTTACTTAATAGAATTACGTTTTTCATTTTTTTTTTTTTTTTTTGTGAAAATATTTAAAATCTAATAGACGACCTCGTAGACAGAAATTATTTATTTTATTAACTTCGACATTGATTTAAAACATTTTTTTAAAAATTTCTTTTATTCGAAACAAACAAACAAACAAACAACGATACAACAAACACACACACACACACACACACACACAAAAAAAAAGACAAAAACGGGTCAGAGAGACCGAAAGCATGACATTGTCATTGTCGTGACAATGATGATGATGATGATGACGGTCAAAAAATATCCGTCAACTCACGACAAGTCGCCAAACAACTGACGTCGTCGAAATGATTTTTAAAATGCCAGTTGTTGTTTGTCGCATCACATGGCATCGTACTATACATATAATAATAATTAAAAAAAAAAGAAGAGAAAATTTTTTTTTTTTTACCAAGGACGAAACCGTGACGTAAAAAAAAAAAAACATGGAAGAAGCTTTCCTGCAGATACGTAATCCGAATTAATTTTCGTCGTCGTCACCATCATCGTGATTTTTTAGTCTCGCACAGAGTGACACATTTTTTTCCGTATTAGAAACAATCAAAGAGTTCCAGTAATACCAACATTAAAATTATTTTAAATTATGTAAGGAAAAAAAAAAGAAAAAAAAGGCTCAAAGGACCACCCGAAGAAAAATATTAAATCACCAAATAACCTAAATCGAACCGAAAGAAGAAGAAGGGGGGGGGGGAAAAAAATTATGTATCGCCCATTTTTCATTATTGCCAACATAAAAAATTTCGAAATGAAAAATAATGGAATATTAATTACTATTTTTTTTTTTTTTTTACAATTGAAAAAAAAAGAAAAAGAAAAAAAACAAATCGAATTTTAATTTTTTTTTTTTTTTAGCCCTCAGTCAGTCATTGTCAGAGCTCTCGAAATGTAAAAAAAAATTATTCAGTGCTACCAACGGATTAAAAAAATTAAAAAAAAAAGGGAGGCGAATTAACGTCACGATTGATTTTACGTCGTGTTTTAAAATCAAACGTGACATTAAATCCGCTTCTCACACATATAATTCCTTTCAGCGTGATATTTGCATTACGGTCACTTTGAACACGAAAACAATTTTTTCTTTCTTTCTCTCTCTCTCTCGTGTGTATGTGTGTGTGTGTGTTGTTTCCTCTACTCGTGTGGACCATTAATTTTTAATCTTTTTAAATTTATGCTTTTTGTTTTTTTTTCTTGTTTTAAATAAATCACGCCCGTTTGTTTTAATTTTTTTTTTTTTTCATCGACCTCTCGTTGTTGCATATTTTATCGAAAACCACGATTGCGTTTTGATATAAGACGAGAGAAGGAATGATAACAAACAAAAGAAATCGAAAAATATTAAAACGAACCGGACGAAAGAATGAAAGAGAAGTTCAGAAAGTGATCGTGACGATGACGATGACGACGAAAAACAAAAATCACAGTGGAATTAGAAATTTTTTAGCGTTGACCACCGTGTCAAATTATTTCAAATTGAAAAATAAATAAAAGATATAAAATCAAATAAAAACCGTGACAATCATTATCATCATCATCATCATCATTATCATCATCATCATCATCATGGTTTCGGCTAATAACCATCACCAAAACAAAAGATACCAGAAGAAGAAGCACAGAAAATTAAAATGACTCGTATTTATTGGCACGCCGTTATCAATTTGTCAATTCATTCATTCATTCATTCATTCATTCATTTAAATTTCAATCGTTTCACTTAATGAGACGGGTAGCATCCGAATTCCATTCTTACTCCTGATACCTGATTTATTCGATAAAATTTTCGATTATTTTTACAAAACGTATATCGATCGAATCGTTTATCGTTTGGGAATTAAATCTCATTTCCGTTTTAAAATCTTTGAAGATTATTATTATTATTATTATTATCATTATTTTTTTTCCAGGAATATCTTTTCGATTGCGTAACGAAACAAAAAAAAAAAAAAACGCATAAGACACGCATGATATTTTAAATTCAATTAATTATCTAATAATAACATTAATGATAATGATAACAACAATGATAATGATAAATTTAACGAACGAAACGCCTTTAGCCCAATATGGTCGTTTGAACTCGACGTGGTTGTTGTCCTTAGGAAAAACAATCTCGACGAGGGAGAGGAGAGGGGAGGGGAGAGGAGGAAATGAGGGAAAACATTTTTCAAAAAAAAAAAAAAAAAATTTTACGCTTTTGATTGTAACGTTACTTTAAATTTATAATAATAATAATATTGTTCGAATCGTTTTCCCGGAAACTCGAATTGTTCGAATTATTTTTCCCAAATGAAATTCCCGCCTAAAATTTCCCTCAAATAATTTTTTCCTAATTTTTTATTTAGGTTGGCAACAATTTTTTTTGTCAGTTATTACCGCATCGAGAGTGCGTTCAAAAAATATGAGTTAAATTGAATGAAAGTCACGCGAATTTATAATGAGAAAAAAAAATAGGAAAAAAATCGATTAACGCGCGCGTTTTTTTTTTATTCGTACCACGATTAAATGTCAGAAACCAAAATTTTTTTTTTTTTGAATCAAATTATTCACGATCGTGTCACGTTTTCAAAAAAAAAAAAAAAGCTCAATAATTACTTTCTAAACTTTTTTTCTTTATTTTCTCGCGTACGCGCGTGTTTCTGTTTCGTCGCGTTATGCGATTTTCGCGATATGGCAACTCTGAAATTTCGAAAATTATTATTATTATGATTAACATAGTTGAAAACGAAAAAAAAATTTTTTTTAAAATCACGCCGCGTTTTTAAACAACTGCATGTAAACGCACACGCGGCGTTTCAAACTTTTCCCGTTTGAATTTATCTTCAGTGTTATGTAAATACGAATAAAAATTTTGAAATTTCACGCATGCAAACGCAAACATACACGAACGCACGCACGCACGCACGCACGCGTTTTACTTATTTTTTTTGGGTTCACATTTGCGACAAAATAAACTCAAAGTCGCGCAAATATTTAATTAATATTATTATCATCAATACACGATTTATATATAAAAGTTTTCAACTATGAAAAAAATGATCACCTTTTTTTTTTTATTTGTCTCGTGCCACGGCCTTAAAATTATTGAGTTAACCCGAAATCGAAAACCGTGAAAAACGTCAACAAAGGAAGGCAAAGACCTGATTTTCCACGTCAAAACGCGACGTTCTGATTTTTTTCGAGCGGGAAAAATATTATTATTATCATTATTATTATTCTGTTGCTATGCGTCAATGCGTGAAACGACAGTTGTAATAATAATAATAATAGTTGTTATGCCTGTACGGTCTGTTTTCGAATATAATCAAAAATGAAATCGTGGGATGCTCTTTGCGTGCGTTCATGTGCGTAAGGGTATTCGCACATATTAAAAAAGAAAACAGTAGTCATTATTATTATTATTATTATTATTATTATTATTATTATTATTATTCATATCGAAAATCATATTCAGGTGATGATCGAACGCACACGCATACGCACACGCGCACACATCTGTAGTTTTTCATATGTTAATTGCAGACAGGGAGGAGGAGGAGAAAAAAAATTACTTTGGCTTTTGTGCGTGTGCGTGTGCGTGCGTGCCCGTGGCATAGATTCTTGTTAATCACGGAATGATAACATAAAAACTAAAACGGAAACTGACGTACAAAAAAAAAAAAAAAAAAAAAAAAATTTCAAATTAATTTTTTTTTTATTCATCGACATTATATTACCTACACACAAAATTTACCACGCAGTTAAAAAAAACTAATAAAAATAACAATAATGACGATGATTATTACTATTATTATTATTATTACTATGATGATGATAATAATAACATTTAAGGTCGACTGCTTGGCATTGACTAATTAGAATAAGAAAACCGGCCTGACTATGAATGGGATGGGCGTGGGGGAGGGAAGTAGTACAAGTATCTGACAAGTGTCAA